CATTAGCTCTACTAAAAATAACAACAGTTAGCCAAATATGGTGATGCACACCTGTAATCCCAGCTACTTGGGAGGCTGAAGCAGAAGAATCACTTGAACCCAAGAGGCAGAGGTTGCAGTGAGCCAAGATCATGCCACTGCACTCCAGCCTGGGTGACAGAGCAAGACTCTATCTCAAAAAAAAAGAAAAAGCATAGAGAAAGAGGGAAGGGAACACTGGAGGCAGAAACAACAGCAGACAGAAAAAAATGATGATGCAGGGGTTCACAGAACTGACAAAGAAGTTCAGGAAAGCAGCCTGGAGACGTTTCATGTGAGAATATCTGGATAATGCCCAAAGAAACTGCAATGCTCTACAACTCAGGTTCACACAACTTTGAGTCATGAAGAAAATATGACGTCATACTCATTTCATGAAGTGGTAGGAAAGGTATCACCCTTATTGAAATCTTTTCATTAAAAACACTTTGTAAAATATTTAACACAAAAAGAAAACCTCTGTCCCCAGTCATCCCCAATGGAGATCTATAAGATGTTTAAATGCAATATATTTACTGAATACAGGGTGACTCGAAAAGTCCATTGCTGTGGCATCAATACCTCATCACTTAAATACAGCAACACCAAAAAAAACAGTTCTGGGAACACAGTTCATATTACCTAGGCCTTTAATCACATTTTCTACTATTTCCCAAAGTGATCAAGAAGAAACTGATCAGAAACTCTTCATGTGAGAAAAACACAGGGAAAATGAGTCTCATCACATGCAGAGGTTCATTCACTTCCTATATTTACTGAGGCATAAATATATTATGCATTTTGTGCTGTTATCTGAACTCTTGAAATTTATAAAGAAAAGAATTTGGAGCTTTTCCATTTGGAGGAGACAGAAAAACAGACACAGTAATAACCATAAATTCCAAAGCATGTGAATAAATGGAATGCTGATGTACTGAAATAAAAAGCTACAATAATGTGTTAAAACAAATACACCCTACTACATAATAGAAAAGAGGTCTCAAGGTTCCATTCATGTGAAAGGATCAGCAGATTTCTGCTCCATAATAATAACTGTTATTATTATTTATTAAGCACCCACCATATACTGATGCCTGAGGCACCAACTATAAATGAAAGAGAAAAGATTTTTTTTTTAAAAATCAGTGCTTGAAGGCCTTATGAAATAAGAGGATTCTATATCTAATATAGGAAAGATCGTAATAGAAGCAATGTGCTTTTCCCATGTGTTTCATTTTATGGCTCCAATCAACATCAAGAAAGCTTTTTGTCCTTCTGGCCTTGAGAAAAAGCATCCATCGGGAATGCCTACAGGAACACAAGACTATAGGGGAGTTATCATAACCCACTGGAGCTTCAAATATATTTATAAACTCCACCTTCATTTATAACAAGTACCTATTCATACTAATAAATATTAAGAATGAATCACATATCAAAAACACAGCTGAATACAGGCTGGGCATGGTGGCTCATGCCTGTAATCTCACACTTTGGGAGGCCAAGGCACATGGATCACCTGAGGTCAGTAGTTCAAAACTAGCCTGGCCAGCATGGTGAAACCCTGTCTCTACTTAAAATACAAAAAATTAAACAGGCATGGGGGCAGGTACCATGTACCTGTAATCCCAGCTACTCGGGAGACTGAGGCAGGAGTGAACTTCGGAGGTGGAGGTTGCAGTGAGCCAAGATCATGCCACTGCACTCCAGCCAGGGTGACCGACCGAGACCCTATCTCAAAAATAAATAAATAAATACAAATGAAGATTGCTGATTTTTTTTAAATCAGAACAATGTTAATATTTTAGTTGGGTCTATATAACTAAAACAGGTCATCGGTTTGGTCAATTCAACTGAGTAACCAAATTAACAAATATATCAATTCTAGTTTGTTTTTTAGATGAAAATGATCTGGCCACATGCAAGAAGGATGGATGGATGGTGAGTGGATGGATGGATAGATGAATAGTGGATGGATGGATGGGTGAATGGATGGATGGTGGGAGGTGGGTAGAAGAATATAGGAATTGAGAGCAACAGAGAAAGAGAGAGGAGAGAGAGGAATTCTTTCTGATATGATCTGTTTCAAAAGCCTAAAACAGGCTCCAGATTTTAGCTATCTTCGGTAGGACTCATGTGAGCCCCAACTGAGCTCCAATTCTGGGGGATGTCATCTTTCTGGCCCTACTTCTCTCCATAGTCAAAAGCCACTTAGGATGTTTTGCAATTATCTGATTGGCTTGAATTCTCCTAAAAGAAAATGATTTTGTTCAATTTTGTAAATGCAGAGTGCATGAACTTTGCCAACTATTTGGAAGTGAAGAACAACATAATGTGGAAATAGTGAGATACCCTAGAATTTGATTAAATTCATGTATCCTGGATAAGCAACCCATCTAAGGGATACACTGTAAGCTGGTGATGGGTGGGTATTTGTGAAGTCCCCAGTGTACTAAACAAAAGATGAGTACATACCTATTGCCAAAGTACAGCTATGGAAACCTGCAGAAGGCATGCCATAAAATAATGTGAACATGGCCAGGCACGGTGGCTCACGCCTGTGATCCCAGCACTTTGGGAGGATGACGTGGGAGGATCACGAGGTCAAGAGATCAAGACCATCCTGGCCAACAAGGTGAAACCTCATCTCTACAAAAATTATCTGGACCTGGTGGTGCAACTACTCAAGAGGCTGAGGCAGCAGAATCACTTGAATCCAAGAGGCAGAGGTTGCAGTAAGCCATGATTACACTACTGCACTCCAGCCTGGCAACAGAACGAGACTCCATCTCAAAAAAAAAAAAAGTGAACATCACTGATTATTTCCTCCTTGTATGGTGAACTAATTATCTCACAAAATCCTGTATCATTATTATTCCCATTTCACAAATGAGGAAACTGAGGTAAAGAAGTTAGTTAACTTCCCCAAGAATACACAGGCAAGTAAGAGCTGGAGCAAAGATTCAAACCTAAGCTGTCATCAGGGTCTACACATCATTTCACTAACAAAGAGGCAGTGCCACTAGAAGATACATAGGCAGCCTACCGGGTAAAACAAGGGACATCAGGGAGTCCTGGGCAGTGCCCGTGGAGCACTGATGGGAGCAACCTTACAGGGGAGAGGTCTCCTGACCAAAGACAATCCCATTTCATGAATTCTGTTGAACCTCCCATCACCCTCCCCTGCCTCTTGCCCACACCAATCCACCCTGAGAATGTGCCTCCACAAATCATTTCAGAACACATGCATATCAAGTCACTCTCTTGTTCTGGAATCTAGAATGGATTCTGGAATCTAGAATGGATTCTGGAATCTAGAATGGATTCTGGAATCTAAAATGAGTCTAATTCAGTCTTTATCCTGATGCTGAAGGATGCCTCCTGCATGCTCAGCTTCCTCCCAGACACCCAGCCTCATCTACCTCTGCCACCCCTGCTGCCCCCAGACTCCTTCTCTCCTCACTACCAGAATGCCCTCCTCCCTCCTGTGAGCCCATCAGACACCCCCAGCCCTTCCAGCTCACCTCTACTCCAACTTCCTTCTTGTTATGTGCCCCTTTCTGACCCCTCCTGACATTGACTTTGGCATTTGAATTCCTTGGTACGTTCACTTAATGCACTATGGTTTGTGTCTTAGTCCATCTGGGCTGCTATAACAAAATACCATAGACTGAATGGCTTATAAACTTTGGACGTCTATTTCTCACAGTTTTGAAGGCTAGAAAGTCCAAGATCAAGACATCATTATGGGTGGGTTTTGGTGAAGTCTCTCTCCTTGGGTTGCAGACAGCTGCCTTCTCACTGTGCTCACATGGTGAAAGGAGAGGGAGCTCTCTGGTGTCTCTTCTAAGTAAAAACACCAATCTTATCATGAAGGTTCCACCTCATGACCTAACTGCCTCCTAAAGGCCCCAACTCCAAATACCATCACTTGAGGGTGATGATTTAACATCTGAAATGGGGTGGCGGGAGGCACTGGTGCAGACACATGCAGACCATAGAAACTGGAAATCTTCCAAGTCGGGATCTAAAGAGGACGTGCTTTTTATTATTGCTGAGTAACATACTACCCCAAAAATTTAGTAGCTTAAAACCATAATTGTTTGTTTTGTTTACAAATCTGCAATTTGGGAAGGACTTAGTTGACTTAGTTCTCATCTCTTCTCCAGGAAGCAAAAGCTGAGGCAGCTTTGGAAAGGATGTACTTTCAGGACAGCTCACTCACACAGGTGCTGTGGTAATGCTGCATACCAGCTGGGAGCTCAGCCAGCGATGTTGGCCAGGGGCCTTATTTCCTCAACACATGGGCCAATCCATGAGCTACTTGGGCTTCCTCACAGCATGGCATGCTGACTGGATTCTAAGAGCAAGCACCTCAAAAGGACGACATTGTAAGCTGTGTCACCATTGATGTCCTAGCCTCAGATATCACACAGCATCTCTCCCACCATAGTTATGAGCCCACTATCATACAAGATGAAGAAATATAGACCCCATCTCTTACCAGAAACAGTGTCAAAGTTACATTGCAAGAAAAGCAGGTTACAGCCATTTTTGGAGAATATAACCAGTCACAGTGAGCCCAGAGATCAAAAAGGACATCCGAGCAATAGATTCAGTTATTGCTGCATGGAGCAGAGATGAAACAACTCAGCTGAATTCTTCCGAAATGGCAGATTTGTGAGCAAAATTAGTAATTATTGTGGTTATAAGCTACTAAATTTGGGGGCAGTTTGTTAGTCGGCAATAATAACCACCAAGTTCTCATGGTGCTCATGGATTTGGAGAGAGATAGTTCAACTGATAGAGCCAGTATGAAATAATATCTATTTTTTCAGCAGTTAGTATGCATCAGACATTGTGCTAAGCCCTTTTCATGTGTTTTCTCATTTACAACTCACAACAACCACATGACTTAGGCACTATTGTCAGACTTACTTTGTACACTAGAAAACCAAGTTACAGAGCAGCAAATCACTTACCTAGAGTTTCACAGCTGGTAATCAAGAGCTAGAATGCACTGCGAGATAATATTGAGGACCTGGCAGTACTCTGCAGAGAAAGCAACACTGATGTTGTGCTTTGGAGACAGGTGTGTCCAGGAGGCAGAGGACGGGGGTCGGAGGGGGGACTCCACGTGGAGGGAACAGCCTCTGCAAAGAATGGAAGTAAGGATGATAGGTTAGGCAATGTACCAGCAATGCAGGAGATTCCTAAGAGCTGGAGCTTCAGGTAAAGTGGGGGCAGTGGCACTAGGAAAAGTCAGGGAGCTACGGGCATGGGCCATCTCATGGAACACATCATACATCATGGAACATGGAGCACAAAGCTAAGGCACAGACTGAGAAGGAAGAGCAAGCTGAGCTCTGAAGCTATGAAGGAGGAAGAGGCAGATTCTCACAGGATTAACCTGGAGAAGCTTGTTAGAAGGTACAATGAGACTCAGAAAGAACAATCAACTGCTCATTTTCGAGAAAAGGGAAAAACCTAATCAAGGATCTCCTTCCAAAGGGAATCAATTTATCCCCTATGAGACCACACAAGACCCAAGGAAGGCCTTCCTCATCTCTTGAGGGCCCACTGCAGAAAGGGGTCATGGCCCTGTTACTCTGGCCCTGGTTCTCCTCAACTTATGAGCAAATTAAATGGGTGCATCTCACAATGCAGGCTAGTGTACAAAAACAAAGTCAGGGCCCCCGAAGGCCATTCTAGTGCTGTCTCTTACATTTAGTGAAGACAGACCCAGAAGGTAGGAATAATTAAATGTCCTGGCATCGGTAAACAATGGGAAGCAGCATTATTCCACAGGGAGCTAATTTACGGTGATGAGAATGGAGGACAGTTGTCAATCAGGCATTGTGCACCTTCAGGCTGGCTCAGCTTAGCCCCTGACAAGAGCAGCCATGAGTCCCATGCTCCTCCTCCACCCCCACCCCATGGCACTGTGCTCCCTTCTTATCTACTGAGGCTGCATCAAAGTCTATCAAAGGACAGGTGCAAGCTTAAAGGAAGATGAGTTCAGCTCTTTGTTGCTAATTAAGAATCCCTTGGATATTTTAAGTGGGGGAGGGAGAATTTCTTGGTCCTAAAAAAGAGGGATTCAGCTTCCTGGCATCTTTCTTAGGTGAAAAAGGAAATTTAAACCTTACCTGCTGGACACTATGGACAAGTGCACAGCATATTGGTTTCTTCTTTCCATCCTCACCATTTCACAGAGCCCATTCTTAGTCTGTTCTCCCACACTTCACTGTGGGGAAACTGTGGGCATGGGCTCAGACACCCTGGGACTTGGAGTCCCAGCTCTGTTCTGAAGTAACTCTGATCTGGGCAAGATAGCTGACTTCTCTTTGCCCATTTCCTAGATGATGAGCCCCAGCACCTCATCTAGGAAATGGGAAAAATGGGGCAATGACACCGAACTTTGGCAATGGTGTAAGAGTCAGTTTTCTGGCTGCATAACCAAGTACCACAAACATAGGAGGTTAAAACAGTGCACTCTTATTATCTCACAGCTTCCCTGTGTCAGGAGTCTGGGCACCACCTTGCTGGTCCTTTGCACTGGGTCTCTCTGGGCTGCAACCAAGGTGGGAGGTGGGGCTGGGGTCTTATCTGAAGCTCATGGCCTGCTTCTAAGCTTGCATGGCTGCTGGCAGAAGTTAGTTCATTGCAGGTGCAGTACTGAAGCCCTCTCTCCCTGCCATATGGCCCTCTCCATAGGCAGCCCACATGACAGCAGCTTACTTTTTCCAGGCCATCTAGAGAGGCCCTCACTTCAGTCTGTAACACACTTACATACACAGGACCTACAGTCATGAACCCCATCACTTCGCTGTGGTCTATTGGTATATTAGCCTACTCTCATGCTGCTAACAAAGACATACTGAAGACTGGGTAATTTATAAAGGAAAGAGGTTTAACTGACCCACAGTTCCATATGTCTGGGGAGACCTCACAATCATGGTAGAAGGCAAATGAGGAGCAAAGCCCTGTCTTACATTGTGGCAGACAAGAGAAATCATGTGCAGATCTCTTGGGACTTACTCACTATCATGAGAAGAGCATGAGATAGACCTGCCCCCATGATTCAGTTACCTCCGACAAGGTCCCTCCCACAACACATGGGAATTATGGGATCTACAATACAAGATGAGAATTGGGTACACAGCCAAACCATATCAATTGGTTAGAAGCAAATCTCAGGTTCTGTCAACATTCAAGGGTAGGGGATTACACAAACGTCCAGATACCAGGAGGAAAGAGTTATTGAGACCACCTTAGTGCCTTTCTGCCACAGTGCCTAACATGGTGCCTGGAACCTAATATGTAGTCAAGAGTAAGTTTTATTGTTATATATGTGATGGCTAATTTTATATGTCAACTTGGCCAAGCTATGGTGCCCAGTCACTTGGTTAAACAACAGTTGCTGTGAAGGTATTTCTTAGACATGATTAGTATCTATAATCAGTAGACTTCGGGTAAAGCAGAATGCCATCCATAGTATGGCTGAGTTTCCCCAAATCAAACTGAAGGCCTCAAAAGGCTTCCAGAGAAAGAGCAAATTCTCAAGACTGCAACATGGAAAGCTTGCCTGAGTTTCCAACCTGCTACCCTGAAGAATTCAGACTCAAGACTGTTGTAAGATCAGTATTTACCTGAATTTACAGCATGCTACAGATTTTGTACTTGTGGGACCCCAAAATCATGAGTCAATTCCTTAAAAAAATACAATGTCATTGTTTTCTTGTCACTGCTGATACTGCTTTATGCAAATCTGGTCAGTGACTGAAGATATTCATTCTTTCACTTCAGAATAGATATGTGTATTATTTACACATGATATCTGAGATACCTGTGAATATATCACACATATTATATATATGATATATGTACATTATAGACATATAAACATATAAAATTAAGCACCTACTATGTGCCAGACAGTGTGTTAGGAGAAGGTGGAATAGAGTGCTAAAATATATGCATATTACACAAATAAAAGTAAAGTTGTATTTTGATAAGTGCAATGAAGAAAGGATTTGATGTGATAGAGAATACAACCAGGGCATCACCTGGGGGGTTGGGATAGGGATGAGAGAGTAGAATCAGTAATCCTTCTAAGTGAAATCAGGAGAATGAGTCATTTCTCTGGTATTAATGACTAGGCAATTGTCAATTAATGACTAGTCAATTGCCACAAGATGGGCTTCCTAACAGTCCAAGAAAATAAAACAAATTCCCTGAAAAGCCAAAGGGAAGAAAAAGTCAGCATTGTAATAAAGAACTCAGATGAGAGACAGGATCCTAAAGTTGAAGTGGCTCTTTAAGATCATCTATTCTATACCTCCAGCAGCTGCTCCCATCCTTTCTACTTCTGGCCAAGGCTGCGTTTGAGCCCAATTCCACTTGGGCATATATCACACGTGGAAAGTTCTTTCTTCAATGATGTTACAGCTTCCTGTAACATCCATTCCACTCATCTGTCCTGGTGCAAACATTTGAGGCTACCATGATTCAGAATTCACACACACACACACACACACATATATATATATAAAATGTCAAGACTGTGTCTCCTTTGCAAACAGTCTCTGGCATGTAGTAAAGGCTCAAAAAGAAGATGTTGAATTAATGAGTGGGTGAAGGAAGCACTAAATCAATTCCAAATAAGACCAAAGAAAGGTATTCTGGATGAAATTCTTTTTAACATACAAATTAAATTAATAAAAGCAATGGGTGAAATTCTCTACTCTGAATACTTTTTAATCTAAACTGATTTTGGAGTTTATTTGCCTGAAGGCAGGGAGATAAACCAAATGCTTCAAAGTCTTGTCAGCCTCAGAATTCTAGTCCTATGAAATATAAAACCATTTTCTCAAGTACTCACACATTTTTTTCAGCACATCTCATAAAAACGGTAATATTGGACCTAGACCAAAGGTCTGTAGAATAAATACTCACAGAATAGACTCTGAGTGGAGAGATCCAAAGTCAGGAAACCATTCAATCATTTATCCTGTCCTGTGTCTACTGTAAATCAGGTTTACAAATGAATCCTTCCTCCTTCGGTTATTTTGCTTGAATAACGAACATTGCTAAGTAGAAATAATACTTACAAGTGAACCATGATTCAGAATTCATATATATATAGAACCCTTTCTCTCTTTCCACCAACAACTTTGACTAAAAGAGTCATTGCTGTAGGTACTGTGAGCTAGCCAGTGGCAAATGTACTGCATTCTCAGCATAATAAAGGGAGAAAAAAACAATAGATGGGAAGGGATTGACATGGGGTGAAACAGAGAATTCAAGGGAAGAATTAATTTTTTAAGCACAGCTAGAAGTTAATTGGTGCCTCTTAAAGGTAATTAGCATCATATTTGGAGCACAGAGAAAATGGTTAGATGCTGGAACTGCCGGTCTGAGGTCCAGAAGGGAAACAGAAACCACACCAGTTATTTCTAACAGAGAGAAATTGATATAGGGAATTGGTTAAGTAGAAAGTACACAGAATAAACATGAGGGTTTCTCAGAAGACAAGATGAGGAACCCACAACAGCAAGGAAGTCTAGAGTCATCCAAAAATGAATACTGCCCAAGAGTACCCTTTGGAGGGTCCTGAGGCCCCAGGGATGCCTAGAGGTTGAAGGGAGTCAAAAGCACTAGGATTTCAGGGAGAGATCCCAGATGGGAACCACAAAGAGTTAGCTCAACCCAGAGGACACCAACATGAGCCAGTTCCAACTTTTCTAGCTTCATTAAACTATGCTTTGTCACACCTTTGACCTGGAAGTATTAAAGGCAGCAGCCAAGCACTGGAGGCAGATGCAGCAAGGAGATCAGCCAAACAACCAGCCATATCACCCAGCTGTAGGCTGGTGGCAGAGATGGAGGAGGATGGAGGAGGAAGAAGGTTGAAGTGGCATTATTATTAGACTGCAGCAAACTTCATATTATCTAAGATATACAAGCTCAAGATTCATCCAGGAAAAAAAAGGACAAAATGAACCCAGAAAGGGAGATGAATTGGGAATACTGATAATACATAAAGCTGCTCTATGAGTTGCCCCTTCTAAATCCAGCTCATTTAATAATTTAGATATTTAATATTACTCATTCAGTCCAATACAGAATGCTATTTAAAAAAAAAAAAAGC